CCCCCCCACACCACCCCACGGGGCCAGGCGGGTAAAATCGCTAGCTTCTGGGAAGCCTCAAAACACTCCCAGAAACTGGCGATTTTGCCGGTGCTGGCCCGTGCGGGGGTGGGAGGAGCGTCGCAAGGGGAGTGAGCCTTCCAGGACCCTTGCGACGCTCCCCCCACCTGGAAGCTGGCGATTTCGCCTGCCCTGCCCCCGTGGGGTGGTGGGGAGAGTGTCGCAAGGGTCCTGGAAGGCTCACCTGGACCCTTGCGACGCTCCCCCCCACGGGGCCAGCGGCGACGAAATTGCTGCCTTCGGTCCATAAGATGCACGGACATTCCTCCCCACATTTTGGAGGGGAAAAAGTGCGTCTTATGGAGCAAAAAACATGGTAAGTCTCTGGAAACTGCTAGAATGTGTACTTGAAAATACATGCAAAATGTTAAACTGTTTGTTATTCTTTGTGGTCTGCTTTGATGGACTAAAAGCCACTGTTAAAAAACCAAAAACATTCTAAGCTTATAGGGCCAGTGCCCAGAAATGGGCTAAGGACTTCAATATAATTAAAATACTGCACAACAAGCTGATGTGATAATTAATTTGATATGTGCCATATGTGTGTTTTATGAGTGGCCACACACATCTTCTAATGTGTAGTGTGGCTACTCTGTTCTGTTCAACAAAACTATAGATACACCCTATATCTTTAAGTCAGAATAGTCATAAAGTTACATCTAGGCCACAGAATCCTTCCTAAATTGATATGTTAGAAAAGAAATGTTTATATTAAAAGACAAATTGCACAATACCTTAGTGCAATACTATACGTAAGCTCTCTTTTCTAACACTTCCATAGTGTATCAAGCTTCCAGTTATCTTCTTTCCATTAGTATTTAAAAAGCTCTTCTGAAACACATTAGATATTATATCCTGTACATTTTAATGCTTACTAGCTGTCACTAAATTAAGTTTGGTCAAATATATAAATATGTTTCATAATAGTACATGGCACAGTGGTGAAAGTGCAGTACTACAGTCAAATCTCTGCTCACAACCAGAGTTCAATCCCAATGGGTTCAGGTAGCCAGCTCAAGGTTGCCTCAGTCTTCACCCTCCTTCTGAGGTCCATAAAATGTGTACTTAGTTCATGGGGAGAGGGGAGGTTATCTGCATAATTATGTTGTAAACTGCCCAGAGAGTGATCTAGCACTATGGGGTAATACAGTGGAACCTCTACGTATGAAGGTCCCTACCTACGAACAATCCAACTTATGACCGAGCTCCGTTCGCAAAATTTGGGTTCCAGTTGCAAACGGTGCTTCAAAATACGAACAAGAAAAGGCAGGGGAAAAGGGCAGGAAATTTAAATTTGCTAACTGTTGGTGGCAAAGAGGCTTTAGAGGGTAGGTTTGGGCTGTTTTTTTTCAGTCCCAGCATGGAACTTGCTGTGTTTATTTCTTCTTCTTCTTCTTCTTCTTCTTCTTCTTGGTATTTTTTTTCTTCAGCCACAACAGATTAATCAGTTTTCAATGCATTCCTATGGGAAATTGAGCTTCTACTTACAAACGTTTCAACTAATGAACATCTCCTGGGATGGATTAAGTTCGTAAGTAGAGGTTCCACTGTACATAAATTGAAACAGCAACAACAATATAATCCAATAAAGATTTACTAGCCATTTCTTCCAGCCATTGTTTCAACGTATGTTCTCAATAGATATTAATGGTCGATATCCTGTTGTTTAACTTACTCCTGAAGAACAGCTATGCCATCAAATTTTGGTAATTAAAACCCCAGTCTTTTTTAAAATCATTAATAATTATATACCCCATTTAGCACTCAGGATGTGTTCCAAGAAAATGCAGCAGTAACTAAATAAGCAATAAAGAAGAGGTTTGCCCCCCAATATTTTACATTATGCCAGGAGTTGACTACCAGCTTACTTCCACAACATATGGTAGGTAGACTAAGCCCCTGTTGTCCTAGAGGCCCAGTTTACCTCAATTAGGTAGACTGAACTCCGAAGAAGCACCCAAAAGGAAATGAAAGCACACATACTATAAAGAATCAACACTAAGTGGGACAGCTCTATTCAAGCTACTGGTGTATATCGTATTTTTCCGTGTATAAGACACCCCCACTTTTCTAATCCAAAATTAAGAAATCTAACTGGGGCTTAGCAAGTGTAGGGGGAAGGGATCAAAGTGCTGCAGGATCGCTTTGATCCTTGCTTTCCCCTCCTCTTGTTTTTGTTCTCTCCTCAGCTTACTTCCGTGTATAAGACTACCCTCAATTTTTAGTCTAAAGAGTTTAGACAAAAGTATAGTCTTATAGATGGAAAAATACGGTATATTTATCTTGCAATGCTTGACTGCTGGCACTAAAACTCTTTGAAGATTTCCCACATGTAATGCTTTTGATCTATTTGTCATCCTTTAATTCAATATTATTCACAACTGAGCTGCATTTTTTATAAACCGATAAGAAAAGAGAAATTCATACAGAAAGGGCAGTGCAATGGACTATAGACATTCATGTGCAAATCACATATAGTTTCAGGCCCCTATCTCTAATTTAAAAGATTATGGCAAAGCAAAATCACAATACCTTCAGTGCGATAGAAAAAGTACCTTAAATTTCACACACACACACACATTCCTATTGTGTGGTGAAATCCTATTGAGCAACTTTATGCCACATAAAGGTGACTTTTCATAAATTAAACATTTCCAGTTCCTCCCCCTGCCCCAAAAAGTTTCCAAAGCTCTTTTGGAAGATTATTTCTTTCTATTTATCTCTTATATTCATTTTTTTCCATTTCAGATCCCACCCACCTGATTATTGTAATGTTTACATAAAATTACCTAACACAACAGTTGAGCTGAAAAAGATGTTCCACTGAAGCAGTCTATGACAGGTAGAAGGCATTGCTTTACAATTAGATCATGCCCACAATCGTCCACATGGAAAGACAAAATTCCACATCTGAGATGCACATGTAGTTCTCTTGCCTTAGTTATTTGGAGGGAAAAAATTACAATTGAAACCCCAGGAAAGATCATCTTAGAGCTTCATTCAGCAACGACACATAGGCCAAGCCTAAAGAAGTTACATATAAAGTTAATTATACTTTAAATACAGTGGTGCCTCGCAAGACAAATGCCTCGCTGGAAAAAAAAACTCACAAGACAAATGGTTTGGGCAATGGGGTTGATGACTTGCAAGATAAATGTTCTTATGGCCGTGCTTCGCAAGAAGAATGTTTTCCATCTTTTGTTCCTGCCTCATGTTTGCTGATTTTTAAATGTTTTTCTATGATGTTTAAAAAGATAAAAAATTTTGATTGGAATTTTTTAAATCATCTGCACAATATATATGTGCATAGAGAGCACTTAATGAACCTTTTGTAAACCAAATTTGACTCTGTTCTGACTTTTTTTGCCCATAGGAACACATTAATTAGATTTCAATGCATTCCTACGGGAAAACATGTTTTGCAAGACGAATTTTTCACAAGACAACATTAACCGCGGAA